TGACCAGTGTAAGGTAAGTTTCAGAAGAAGTACAGGTGTGATTATATAATTGCTTTGAGGAGTAGAAGGAAGATGAGCAAGTAGAGACAGTAAGCCCTAACTGATACAGGAGTTAAACAGAAATTATTTAGGCAGATAGTGAAGGTAAGAAAGCTCTCAGTAAGGTTTTCCTTTTAATGAAAAGCAGCTTCAAAATCATTTTCTTCTCTAGCAAAGAGCAGACTGTAAAATCAAGCTTCAGATGTAGACAGGCAAGCTGGAAGCTTGCATGGGTGAATGCCAGCAGTTGTGCCAATAGGAAAAGGCTTTCTGGGACTAAGCATATTCAAAATGGTGGCTCCATTTTCCCTTTTCCTTTCCAGCCATATGTGCAGTAGGGAGCAGATAACATGGCTTCAGTCAATTAGAAAGTCTATTTGCATAATAAGATTAAGGTAGGGCAGCCAGCTTCCCAGCATGTTAGAAATGTAAATATGTATGTATTTATATAAGTATGTAAATATCACACCTCGTCCAACCAATATTTGGGTCCTATGTAAATCAGATACCCCCTCCTCAAGCCTGCTTATAAAATCTGGTGCACTCAGAGGTGGACCCGAAGTCTCATCTGGGCATTCCTCTCTCTTGCAGGGGAAATAACTGTTCTCCCTTTTCTTTCTTTTGCCTATTAAACCTTCACCCCGAAACCCACTTCCTGTTGTGTCTGTGTCCTCAGTTCCCTTTGCGTGAGACAATGAACCTCAGGTATTTACCCCAGACAACGACGACGCTTCATAACTACTCTTTGAAACATCAGATGAAGGAGGCAGAAGGAAAACCAATGATGTCTGGAGTTAAACTCAAAAGAAGAGATTTTGTGGAGATTTTTTGTTAACATTAGTTAGAACAGCAATGTCCAGTATGGTAGCCACTGGTCCTGTGGCTATTGACCGGTTAAAATGTGGCCAGTTCTGAAACGAGAGGTGCTGTGAATTAAAATTTACACTAGAGTTTGAAGATTTGGAATGAGAAAAAAAAAATCTCAAAAAATTTTTATATAGAATACAATGAAACATAACAATTAGGTATACTGGGTTAAATACAACATTTTATTCCAATTGTTTTACATGTTTCTTTTTGCCTTTTTTAAATGTGCCTGTTTGAAAATATAAAATCATAAACCTGGCAAACATTACAGTTTTACTGGAAAATGCTTAGCTGGAGCATGCTATAGGTGAATAAATAGTAACAGTAATAATAATATCTATGGCAGGCAGAATTTTAAGATGGCCTCGAGATCCACTTTGTGGCATATTTTCCCCTTTGAGTCTCTGAGTGAGCCTCCTGGGCATGAAGGGCTATCACAACCTTGAAAATAATACTAACCAGTAGACTTGGAGTAAATCAGAACTGGGATTACTCTATATGGCCCTAACCTAATCAGGTGTGCCCTTTAAAGGAAGATAAAGAATCAGACAGCTACCCCATCATGGCCTCAAAGAAGAAGCAGTAAATGACTGTTGAGATGGGGGCAAACACTTGAAGGAATAGGTAAGCCAAGTTCCTGGAAAGAAGAAGGTAATGTTTGTAGAAAGTACAAAAATGCTACAAAGTGAGCAATCAATGCACCAAAAACCCACTATGCTTACTTCATCGTAACTGTGTGGCAATACAAGCTGCTGTGAGTCGTTCTAACATGTTTGCCTTTACAAGAGAGCAATATCATGAAGATTCTCACAATTTATGACTGACTTTAAGATAAAACGTTACATGGAAAGGTTTGAAAAAAAGCCACAAAAAGAGCATGGTACAATTGTTACTGAAACCAAAATCATGTTTGCAAACTGAAGAGACTATCTATCCTTTCCTGGTGTTAAATTTGAATCGTGTGTGTGTGTGTGTGTGTGTGTGTGTGTGTGTGTGTGTGTAAGTCTCTGAAAGTTGACAGTAGATGAGCTGAAATAACTATCATTTTGAGTAAATGATTATTTGCTGTCAATCTCAACTAAAAATACTTCTAAAATATGTAGGATTTTTTCAGACTGTACAGCTAAGATAAAGTGAATTCTCATCAGTGACTACATTAAAATTAGATCACTAAAAACCTTCAATCTTTTGCATCAATGTCTATGCCACTGGAGAGAAAGGTCCACAATATCAAGACATGGAGTATTCCTTATGACCACACCCGGAGGAAAATCCCATCCCCTATGTCTGCCTAGTAATTAAAACAATGGGTAATAAAATTACTATCAAGTTTGGAAAAGAGTTAACAAGCTGAAACTATTATAAGAGTCAAATAAAAATAAATTATATCCTGGTTCAAGATGGAGGAAGTAGGACTGCCACTAATGTAACTAAACTCTGGGCAACTAGACTGATAAACATCAGCAATCAGTAAAGCTCATTTGAATTCACGTATACTGACCAGGCTGCCATGTTGATAACTTTGTAGTAAACATGTTGTGCCTTGTTCAGTATTAAAGCTCAGATCCAGAAAATCATAGAAACTCAAGTCATTCCAAGGAAGTATCATTTTGCTCAGAAAAATAGTCAAAAAAAGAACAATTCTTCCCTACGTAACCAACCATCCTCTGAACTCACATAAATCCCACCAGAATAACCTAAAAAAATAGAGTCCCTTAAAACCATTAAGTGAAGCCAAAAGCAACCCTCTACTATATCTATAGGAATTGACTATGACACTTCATTCTGGTCTCAGTGTGGAGTCACCTGATAGCTTTTCTGGCCCTGATTTCATCCCAAGAGTAACGTCCTATATCTGCATCTCTTCTACTGTGATGACCAAGGACGGTCTTTATTGTTTTTCCAGGCTGGCCTGCAAGTATTAGACATGGCCCCCACTAGCTTCTGATCATAGGACTCAGTTGCAAGGCTTCACCTGTGTTATCATCTGAGTGTTGGTGTTCTTCCAAAATTCATAAGATAAACTCTAATCCGCAATGTAATGGTGTTAGGAGGTGGAACCTGGGAGATAATTAGGACATGAGGGCTCCTTTTTCATGATAGAGATTACTGCCCTTTTAAAAAGAGGCCTCTGAGAGCTGCCTTGTTCCTTCCACCGTGTGAGAACACAGCTAGGCTATACAATCTATGGAAGGAAGAAACAGGTCCTCATCAGATACCAAAGGTACCAGCACCTGGATTTTAGACTGCCCACACTCCAGAACTGTAAGAAAGAAATTTCTATTGTTGATAAGTCACCAGGCTACAGTATTTTGCTATAGCAGCCCCAATGGGGTAAGACAACCTGGAAGGCCACAGTCAGGTTTTCTGGGTCCACAGGAGCTCTGACACTTCTGCTACAAATGTGGGCAACTACATAATTGAAATGCAGTCAAATCCCTATATTAAAAATTTAGGGGAACAGAGCAAATACTGTCTTACAAGTTAACAACAGTATAACAAGAGTTTGAAATGCAGGTGTCACATTTTAAAGGACAAAGAATAAATTGTGTATTGGAAAGTCTTTATAATGGTCAGGCACATTCTTCAATCATGCTTCTTTTAGTTCATGTTGTTAGGTAAATTTAGAGGCTATAAAGAGCCCCAAAGGTTAAGATTCATAAATATGAATATGTGCCTTTGCCATATGAAGAGGATCAGGCTCTTTTCATGAACATAATATAGTAATAAGCTGAAAACTTACTTTACGGTTATTTTCTACAACGGGAAATTTAACCAAACATGGAGGTTTCTTGAATTACATCCGCAGGGTTTTTATTAATGGCAAGACATAAGATCCTGTGATAAGACAGCTTAACTTCTGAAAAGTGTTCACTGCACAAAAACTGGAAGAAAGCTCTAATGAGCTATGAATGAAGAGGTATGAAAAACTAAAGCTGTACACACACACACACATATAAAATATCAAATGTAAAAATATATAATTATAATTAGTGTGTGTGTGTGTGTGTGTGTGTGTGTGTGTATGTATAAACTTCTTTCAAAATATGCCATGACAATGTTTACCTTAGGTAAAAATCATGAAATCAGTAAAACTCTGCTACTAAAATAAACATTTTACTTGGATTAAATTTTAGAGACCCTAAAATATAATCCATTAGAATTTGCTAGTGTTCTAACTACTTTCCACTGAAAAATCTTTAGTATTGAATGGCAACAAAAGAAAATTTTGGTGAGGCCATGGCATTAATGTGCTTCTAAAGGTGCCTAATTTTTAAAATTAAGGAAAACTTAAGATAACCAAAGAAATGCAGGAATACTTTTAACTCACTACTAAATCCATAAAGTATATATGTATGGCTGCATATATAAATGCATTAATCAAATCAAAATAATCATTTAATTGCCTATTCTGATGATAACAGTTATTCAAACTGTTTTACTTGAAATGTATCATTTTTAAACTTTCACATCTACCAGAAGGAGGAGGCACAATCATGTCTTTCTGCTTTGGAGATGAGCAAACCAAGGCTCATGGAGGTTAAATAATTTATCTGAGATTATTTATGTCATAGATGGCAGAGCAAAACCATAACCTAGGCCCTCAGATTACAGAGATGCTTCTTTCCTTGAAAAAAAAAATCACTAGGCATTGTACTAGGCTCTGAAAAGATTCTAAGAAGAATTTGGTCCAGTTACCATCCTTAAGAAGTTTAGAGACATCAAAAACCCACAGAGGCAATGGGTGTGTTTGTTAATTAGAAAGATGCAAAAAAGTATGTTTCCAAAGAAAAGAATGAAGAAGATACCATTAGGTGCACATTTCATCTGGATAACAGGAACCATGTGGAAATGTTGGAGCCAAACAGCTTTGAGGGGTTCTACAGATCTTTCTACTCCATGTGATCAGTCTACCCAAGAATCTGTATAATATGCAAAATCAAGTTCCTTTCCAATCTCATGCCCTGCGAACTCCTCAGCCTCTTGCAGAATTAGAATGAGGATGTCGGAAATGGGTTATTGGCACAAGTAATGAATGCTTCTGCTTTAATAATGGTTAGGAGTTTCAATTATAATCAAGTAAATGAACTTACTTCGAGAGAGATTCTCAAGGGCTTTCCCCAGCTTCTTGCTCTCTTGAAGGATGTGATTCAATTCATCAAAATCACGGCTTTGTGGTTTAGTCCTCCAGTTCCACTTTGGATGCTCTACTGACCTTGGCACTATGTTTAAAAAAAATGGTAATTTCATAAGCATGCTATGTAATGACACAAACTATTCATCATTATGTGAAAGATTGTACCAAGATCAATGTATAGAATAAAAAATGTTTATCTTGCAGATGGTTTTCTTGTGAGAAAACAGAGGGGAACATATGAAGCCAGGTTTAAAGAAAATACTGTAACTGAAAAGGTAAAGGAAAGAATAGTGGTGTTTATAGAAAAAAGAAAATTCAGGTATTGACTTAAAACTAATCATTTCTATAACAGGGAGAAACACACAAGTAAAGTGTATTTTGTATTATGTCAGCAACTTAAAAAAACACTAACTCCCTTAACAGCAACTGGTAATTATTGAGTAAATATTTTTAGGGCATTCATAGAAGGCTAAATATATGTATTTATCTTCATGTCCCCCCAAGTTCCCACTAAAATGACATTACAGTGAAGGGATTTTTTTTCTTCAAAGAATTAGTTGAACTAACAGAGAAGACATTATTACGTGAGACATAGCAATGTATTTTGAGAGAATGGATGAATGAGTGGTAACTGGATTTTGCAAGGCAAAGAAAACTGAAACCTAAGTCTCTGAACAGAGGGATTCCATGAAAATCAACACATCACGGTATTTAAATTTAAAGCTTCTCTCCAGGAGAACAATGTCCATGTAATTATAATATAAGAACTTGATTGCTTTTCAGTTTTAAAGGGCCGATTAAATGTCCAGCACAAGTCAAGGCATATTTTCAAAAAAATGTTTTAATAGTGGCAATAAAGAAAACATTGTAAAACTTTTCAGGGGCAAAAATAGCAAATCAACTTGATACCAGACTTCTCAATGGCAACACTTGCCTAAGAAGACAGAAAAGCCATTCTTCCAAATTCCCACTATAGAGTTCTTCTTAGAACTATATACCCAACTGAGGAACCAATGAGGATACTTTGAAGAACTGAAAAAATTATCTTGGAAAAGGATCCTTTTTCAGAAAGCTCCTAATAGAGGTTTTCCACCAAAATGAGCAAGTATGTAAAAAATTGGTAAGACTTGGATTTCAGGCAACAGGTGACCTCCACTCCCCCAATAAGAAAAAGGAACAGGGAATTCTCAAGAAGGAAGTGAAACACATTCTCAAAAGGCACCTGAGAGAAAGTCTAGAAACCAAGGAGTCAAGCATGGCGCAAGAGGACAGAGGGCTTCAGAAAAGAAGTCACTAAAATTTTTAAAACGAAGAATAACTATAAAATAGAAGTTAAGATTACTTGTGGTGTCTGATCATACTGAGGTTTAATTCTTTGGGCAGGGTTTGGCAAAGCATTAGTGATGGGTACATAGTAAACAAAACAGACAGAAAAGCAAGAGAACTATCAATTCTAGAAAAAAAATAACAGTTGGACATCATATGGCTTAACAATGTTAATTAATTAATTATAATAATACCAATGTAGGGTACATATTTAATCAACATTTGAAATAACTGCATTACTATACAACCAGGATGTGATGGGGGTTAGAGGTTGGGGCACAAGGTATGAAAGAGATCAAGAGATAATGCCTCAGATTTAAAAAGGAAGAGAGCCTTGTTTGATTGTGTAGATTTAGGAACCAGAAGCAACATCTAAAAGAAGTGAAAGTGATTGCAGGTTAGGAGCCAAGTTGTGCAGAAAACCGGACACTACTCCCTCATAGTATTACTTAAACTTTTTTGAACCATGTGCCATTAAGTTTTGATAAAAACAAAATAAATTTTTTAAAAAGTATTTATATGGTAAGGACATAGGAAGTAATCGCCAACTAATGAAATATATCGTTCTGTTACCTTTACATAAAGTAACCTGGCAATATCCATTATGATGAAAGGTGCACTGACCCTGTGACCCAGCAATCTTATGTCTGGTAAACTCATCATAAAGAAATAAAAGCACCTGTATTCATGTACTATGTACAAAGTTGTTTATTTTCACAGGAAGTACAAGACGTCATTTATTTCAGCAAATAGTTTGTGGCTGCAAAATCCTGTTAATAATCTAAATGTCCTTCAATGAAGGAATGGTTGAATAAATTATCTCTCATTCACACTGTATACAATTATTTTAAAAGGCAAGTTAAATCTAAGTATTTTACCTTAAAGACACTTCCACAGTACATTTTATTTTTTATTTGTACAAATATATAAGGTATACATGAAATTTTGTTACACATGTGCAACACATAGTGATCAAGTCACTGTATGGCTTAACTGTAAACAGTGTTAATCAATCATAATATCAACAGAGTCCATATTTAACCAACACTTAGAGTGTGCATCCACTGAGAGTATGCTTGTGTTAACTATAGTCATCCTACTCTTCCGTCAAACACTGAATTTATTCCTTCTATCTTACTGTACCCTTATACTACCCTTCAGCCCACTTCTCTCATTTTCCCCCACCCCCAGTCACCCTTCCAGTCTCTGTTAGCTATCTTTCAATCCCTTACCTCTAGGTAATCAGCTTTATTAGCCCCCACATATAAATGATGGCATGCAATATTTGTCTTTTTGTGCCTGGCTTATTTCACTTATGATAATAACTTACAGTTTCACCACGTTGCTGAGAATGACATGATTTCATTCTTGTTTTTAATGACCAAATAGCATTTCACTGTGTGTACATACTACATTTTCTTTATTCATTTGTCCACTGATGGACACTTAGGTTGGTTCCACATTTTCTCTATTGTGAATAGTGCTGCAATAGACCTGTGAGTGCAGGTATCTTTTGGATGTATTGGTTGCTTTTATTTTGGGTAGATATCCAGTAATGGGATTGCTGGATTGAATGGTGGTTCTATTTTAAGGTTTTTTGAGAACTCTTCACACTGTTCTCCATAGTTACTATATTAGTTTACCTTCCCACTAACAGTGTATAAGAGTTCCTTTTTCAGCCAGGCGCAGTGACTCACGCCTGTAATCCCAGCACTTTGGGAGGCAGAACCAGGCAGATCACAAAGTCAAGAGTTTGAGACCAACCTGGCCAACATGGTAAAACCCCATCTCTGCTAAAAAAAGAAAAAAAACCCTACAAAAATTAGCCGGGCATGGTAGCAGGCGCCTGTAGTCCCACCTGCGCAGGAGGTTGAAGCAGGAGAACTGCTTGAACCTGGCAGTTCAAGGCAGAGGTTGCAGTGAGCTGAGACTGTGCCACTGCACTCCAGCCTAGGTGACAGAGTGAGACTCCATGTCAAAAAATAAAAATAAAAAGAGTACCCTGAGTCCCCTTTTCTCTACATCCTTGCCAACATCTTATTTTTCCTTTTAATAGCCAGACTTTCATTTTAAAATAATAAAAACACATTGCTTAAGAATATATACAGTTTAAGGCCATTTTTATACAGCAAACCAACCCATCCATATCATATCTGTCAATATGTACGAAGAAAAGAACATACAAAGATGCATACTATTTCTAGGGTAGTAGCATTTGAGGGAGACAAGACATTTCTCTTTCTACAGGTCTGTATATTTTAAATTGTCAAAATAAATAAATATTATTTCTGTAATTTAAATAAACTTAGAAATTAAAAATTAAAAATGAATGCAGCTGCCTCATCTGGGCTTCTTGATTTAAGGGACCCTGGGACAGGGATATAAGCTGAAATTAACACACTAGTGTGCTGGTAGCAGAGAGTAGACACAGTGACCATAATCAATCTAGAAAACACTTCCAGGCCCATGACTGCTACTTCACTGGCCATTCCCCAGGTGAAGCCTATGGAGAAATCTAGGTTCAAGAGAGAGAAGTTGAGATGACAGAGTGGAGAAAACAGTATTTGTATTAGATTCTTCAAAACTCTGACACTTTTGTTAATCTTTGAATAATTTCTCTAATCTGCAGTCTGTATCACTGCACTACCTCATTTTCTGTTAATCACTATATGCCACCAAGGTCTCTATTTTTTCTTTCTAATTTACAAAATAAGAACATAGTTTTTTTTTTTTTAAGTCCTGGTCAATATCCCCAGACACCCACTAGACACAGCCCAGCCTCCCATCACCCTAGCTGAGCTCAGCACCTGATGACCTACCCACTGACTGCACCACATGGGCACGTCACGTGAGGCCAGCAGAAGAACCAGCCAGTCTACATACAAAATATGAGAAAGCAGAAATTGTTGCTGTTTTCAGCCACTGAGTTTTGGGAAAATTATATGCTGTAAAATAGAGAACTAATTAATACAATATCCAAGAACTTTTGCTTGGCAACTTTTGAGAGGAACTAAGACCAATTTCTTTTTATGTTTTTTGTACCTTTTTTTTTTTTTTTTGAGATGAAGTTTCACTCTTGTTACCCAGGCTGGAGTGTAATGGCGTGATCTTGGCTTACCGCAACCTCCGCCTCCTGGGTTCAAGCAATTCTCCTGCCTCAGCCTCCCGAGTAGCTGGGATTACAGGCGCATGCCACCATGCCCAGCTAATTTTTTGTATTTTTAATAGAGACAGGGTTTCACCATGTTGACCAGGATGGTCTCGATCTCTTGACCTCGTGATCCACCTGCCTTGGCCGCCCAAAGTGCTGGGATTACAGGCGTGAGCCACCGCGCCCAGCCTGTTTTTTGTAACTTGTGACAACATGAGACATACAATAGCTTTTCTTGTATAATTTATCTTGTATAACTTACCATGAGAACCTACTTATCTTGTATAACTTACCATGAGAACCTACTTATCTTGAATAACTTACCATGAGAACCTACTTATCTTGTATAACTTATCATGGTAACCAAATCTAGGACAACCAAAGCCATGGTATAATCAGGATCTAATCAGTAGGATGAGTGATTTAAAAAGCTGTTTTGATAAGTAATGGAAAGAAATTTGGGAAGTCATTAACCTGATATACTGTCTTTGGATGAGAACATCTCTAAAATTTTCTGATAGATTGAAAACCTTATTTAAGTCATACTACAGCTTAAAAATAAAGGGCTACTGTTTAAAAATGCTTTTTAAAATATCCACAGGGAAAAT